ATGGAGGCTAACCACATCGGGGATACACAGACGAGAGGAAACATGCGCATCATATACATGTGCAAACAGCGTTCCTGCATCACTGACTGATGTTCATTAGTGACATCAACAGAAAGATAGGGAAGAGAAGACGGGGAAGCAGTGGACACTTTCTAGGAAAAATGAGAGATTACATAGAGACAGTGTTGTGCAGCTATTCCAGTCTGGCTTTGGAATAATATACTGTTTTAGGTTTTGAACAGTTTTCTGGTAAATTAGAAATTTCCCTCAGTTTTAGTGAAAATATTTGGATGTGTTTTTAGAGATAATGTAACAGTAATCGTCTTAATGTGAAGGTCCATCACTGTTTGTTGATTCCCAAGGAATTGCTGAAGGCGATGTACTGCACAGCCATCCTCTGTTTATTGCCGTGCCTTCTCCAGGCAACAACACATGACACTGTGACCCCTCTGAGTAACTTGTACATATGGGGGTATGGACAGTTTCATTAGTGCGGGGTTCGCCTAAAGCAGCACTGTAATACACAATAAATGAGAGAGTGCCTAATTTCCCATGGCTTGAAAATGTAGCTTGAGCATCTCAGACATCTAAAATACCCACATCATTAGAGTCAGTCTGCCAGCATCTCGAAATTATTATGCCGGTGGTCGTGTGACATTAGTATGAGCACATGTACATGCACACACTGAACAGCTTGACTTTTTTATGAAATTGGCCTAACATAGTTAGGTTCTTTCAAATCAAAGCACAAAGTGCAGCCTTTAGAGTTCCACTCAGAGTGATACTGACTGTCTAACAGCACTTCACTCAAAACATCACTCAAAACATGCCACAATGTCCACATTGCCCAGGATAGTACTTGTTAATGACATGGTCCCCTTCAAGCACCTTAGTAGTTCCCTGGTATTTATGCACACTGTTTTTGCTTTATTTTCTTCCACTCTATCAGCTCCATTTGTAAATCTCATTTGCCAGTCTTACATTATGCTGGTCAGTTTGAAGTGCTGGATTCAGAGGGCACTTAGTGCCCGAGATCCTTGATGCCTCAAAACCTGGTAAACAACTGAATGTACACGTGCACACACAGAGAACATAATATTTCAAGGAAAGTGGTGTGATTCAAAGCTCATCTTTCAAATCAATGATAAAAAATACTGGCTTTTGAGTAGACAGCACCATTAAATACTTTATTTTCTGTGCTCTGTGAAGGAGAAGAGAGACACGGCAACTACAGCAATTTAAGAAAACAAAATGCGCAGGAACGCTGTTTGCACATGTATATGATGCGCATGTTTCCTCTCGTCTGTCAGTTTGAAGTCAGTTTGAAGTGCCACTTAGAAAAGAGAGCTGAGGGCAAGGATGTGTGGCGGGAAAAACTGGGGATACCTTTTGCCACATGTGAACATGTGGAAAAAAAATACAGCATTAAACAATCTCTTCTGAGCATTTCTGTGCACGCGCACACATTTACTGATACATGCATACTTGCAAGTATGCAGGATTTCTTGTCAAAAATTGCGTTCTGTCAGAGGGCTTACCTCTCAGGTGAGATGAGTGTGAAAATTAAGTGTCAAGGTGAGAATAATCTTCTCCTATCAGCCTATCGCTGAATGAAGTAAAAATGCACTTTGCAATATCTGCTTCCCACTCTGAACTAGGTCAACTTCAATGATTTTTTCATGCGTTTGACAGCAACATGGGTTTTTCTTTCATCTTTAATGGAGGCTACTTTTCTGTGCGTGTGCTCATGTCGTTCAGGAACGAAGGAGAACCTCAATGCCTCCAAGATCCTTTCATCCGTGTGGTCGACAATTGAATCTGACGCACAAGAACATGCAGCTTTCTTGCTGAGGTAAATGAACAACTGAGGTCTATCAAAGTGTATGACAGAGGTGACTAATAAAAATGTACTGACTGTGTGCGCTTACATGGTGAGTCTAGCAATCGTAGTGGGGTTTTTTGTCAACACAAATATTTGAAAGTATATGAAAGCGCTGCAAATGCGTTCCAGTGCCAATGCTGTGTATATTGCATGGCATGCGTTTAGCCTCTCTGTTGCACTGCATGTCCAGAATCTGCTCCCTCTCCTGGTTGTGGCAGCCTGTGGGGGACATGCAGGGAGCATTTTCCACATTGTGTTCCATCTTTTCCCAGTGGTACCATCTGCTGTTTATACTCTCCCCGTTCCAATCAGCTACCAGCGTCTGCCGAATGACCCGCTGCCTGGGGATGCATGTGTGTGTGCATGAGCAATAAAAGCTCGGTCAATGTGTGTACGGCGGATGAAGAGGTGGTTTTCTTAACTGACATAAATAATCACTTAAGTCAAAGATCACACTGAAAAGCAAAGTGCATCTTGGTTCTTTCTTATGAAAGAGGCATAGATTGTTTTCTGGGAATTTGTAATGAATACTTAGCCTTATTTTAAATTAAAACTGTATTCACAACATGGTTTTTGCTTAAGCTGAAATTTCTAAATGTGCTCTGAACTTTCTGTGTTTCTTGCACAGGCATATCATCAACAATTCTAAGAGGAAAGCGGACCTCTACCCATGTCTACGAGATGAATCGACTAAAATCGCCTTTGCTGATTACACTGTCTCTCTTCCAGACACAGCCAACTCATGGGTCTTGGTCTTTAGGTCAGAGAACATTGTAAACTCATTGAAAGAGAATTCCTAGGCTGTCTTTGAAAACCCTGGTGGAAATGCATGATGTCCTCTTATAACCTTGCTACCTAGCCGTGCTATCTTTGGTGTTGCTCATAAATTTCTCTTTAGAATTGACATGTCTCTTCCTTTGATAATGTCTCTGCTTAAAGCCGATTTATGCTAATAAAGCTAAACAAAGTTTAGAAAAATATTTCTCATTACTAACAGTACCAAGTAGCAGAATTTGATATATTATCGGCTTAATTTTTTTTACTGGTTCACAGAGAGATTTTCCTGGTTTCTGA